TCGTATAACTAGCGGAACTTTACAAAATGGAGAGTTTTTTGGCTCGGGCTTTCGCTGACAACTAAATTAATTGATAGCACTTTCAAAGATTAGTTTTAGATCTAATTTCGATAAGATCTTAATGTACCTAAAATTGTGTGTTTTGTATCGTCAGAAGGGCTGAAATTAGTACAATTGTACCTACTTTTCCATCAATGGTTTCAAAACAGCTAATAGTGCTCTTACATGATATGTAAATATTTGCGTATGTAAATGCTACTTTTCCGATACGTTATAATAAATGGTACATACCTAATTAAAACACATCTCATCGACATCTCCTCAAAATTTTTGCGCAACAAAAACGGTCACTGGAAATGCGCCTTCTCATTTATAAACGTTCTCTGGTAACGGCCGTTTTCACAGTCTTTGGTTAACAGTAATCTCCAGTTAAACATTGTTACCGATTTTAGTGAACCCATACATTTAACATTGAGGCTGGTTGCTCAAAGCCTCAATGCGATTGCTTTGAAAAAAAGAGAACCATTTTGAAATATGAGTGTTTTTACTCTCTAGAAAATAATTTCTACAACTTCACATACGCGGTTTTGCACTTTAAACGACGATATGTATGGACGTTAGAGTGGTCCAAGAAATCCCTCCTTTTAATATTCTTCAGTGTCCACGCAAATTTGTGTTCGTTTTGATAAAAAATTAAAGTACATAACTTGATTTAAAAAAAAAAATTAAATTTAGAGGTCGATCAAGTCCATTTTAATTTTCCAGTGTACGTACACATTGACACATTTAAGTAAACATATGTATGTACATTGAGGCGTATCCTTGTTTTGGTAGGAATCGAAAATTTGAAATTTTTGCATAGAAAATGATGGGAAAATTTCATGATTTTCGATTTGTACGAAAACAAGAATACGCCCCATTATAAACACACATGTTGGCCTTGTGGTCTGGCTGTTGGGGGATAGTTTCCGCTTCGATGCTGCTGTGTTGCGACTTCTACATAATGTTGCAAGAACTGATTGTCGTCATACATATGTACATGATATTTGACATATGCTATTTTGAAGACTAGAATGCCTCATTCCAATATTTTCTACTGACAATTAAGGAACTCTAGTTGCCAACAATCCAACTAAATTGAAATTAATCACTAGCTAAATTCCATGATAATCCCTGGATTTATACTCACCAATTACTTTCGGCCAGCCAAATCAGCTTTCGATTCATTTATATATTAAAACACCTGGGGTTCTACTCCGTATTGCGATTCGAAAAGCAAATCAATCGAATTCGAATACTTGCCGCTATAAATTTTGTATTAGTCCGTGTCGCGCCTTTCGAATCGCATTGAGTTTCGAATCGCAATACAGAGTAGACCCCTGAGGCTTTCGCCAACAGTTTTTTACATTTCCCTTCCTTTTAAACGAAGATAAGCCGGCAGTGCGGTGCCTTGTTGTAAAGTTTTTTCTTTTGCATAAATTTGCTTTTTAATGGCTAGGTGGTCTCACTTCGTCCGATTCGCGCTGGAGACAAACTCTGACATACATACATATGTTGCTAGATATGTACAGAAATTTCCCTTGCTGGAAGCATCAAGTGGCTAAAGGCTGAAAATTACAAATACAACATCAGTGCATGCTTGGCCGCTTTTT